GAGGTAGAGGAGGAAGCAGAACTTGAACAAGTAGTAAAAAGGAATCCAAAAAAGAATGAAGTCCACGAAATATTCCAAAATCGAAAAGGCGCTGTAAACCACCCAATAAGTCAGCCACAACTTTTCCCCTTCTGTTCCTGGACTTTCAATGGCCAAAAAGGACATCCACGCTGCAGCAGCACAACAAACCCTGCTGCTGCTGCTGCTGCTGCTGCTGCTGCTGCTGCTGCTGCTGCTGCTGGCGTTGCTGCAGGTGCTGCTGCGGAAGCTGCAGCGGTTCTGGAGCTGTGGGTGCTGCTGCGCAGCTGCTGCTGCAGCTGCTGCTGCTGTGCTGCACTTGCTGCTGCTGCTGCTGCTGCTCTACCGCACCTGCTGCTGCTGCTGCTCTACCACTCCTGCTGCTGCTGCTCTACCACTCCTGCTGCTGCTGCTGCTCTACCACTGCTGCTGCTGCTGCTCTACCACTCCTGCTGCTGCTGCTCTACCACTGCTGCTGCTGCTGCTCTACCACTGCTGCTGCTGCTGCTGCTCTACCACTCCTGCTGCTGCTGCTCTACCACTGCTGCTGCTGCTGCTGCTGCTGCTGCTGCTGCTGCTGACCTGGGTAGAGGAACCCCGTAATATCGCAGACGAGGCCCCCTCCAAAACCAGTTCCCAGACTTATAAACAGAACAGCAGCAGCAACAGCAACAAGAAAAGAAGGTCTGAGTCCTGTTGCTGCTGCTGCTTGCTGCGCCACAGGGGCCTCCTGCAGGTACTTATCTGCTTCGCTGAACAGCCGCTGCAGGGGCCCCCCGGGGCCCCCGGGGGCCCCTGGGGGCCCCTCTTGAGGGCCTCGGTGCTGCCGTCGGAGCCGGAGCCGGAGCCGCGCCGTGGGAAGGCCATTGGGGTGCAGCGAGACGGGCCTGTCTTGCTGCAGCAGCAGCAGCAGCAGCAGCAGCAGCAGCAGCGGGGAGCTAGCGGGTCTTGGGGACTTGAAAGGAAAAGGAAAAGAAATTAATTTCGAAAGAAAGAAAAAGAAATAAAGAAATGCGGGAGAAGCTCGCGGCGCGCAGCGGGTGTTGCGGCGTCGGTTGAGGTGTATAGGCAGCTGCTGCTGCTGGTCTGCTGCTGCTGCTGCTGCTGCTGCTGCTGCTGCTGCTGCTGCTGGCGTTTTGGAGAAGCTGGACTTTGGAATGTTTAAAGGAAATGAAATATAAACTCAATTTTACTACTTTTGGCCTCAAACAATCCCCCTTGCTGCTGCAACTCCCTGCACCTTTTGCACCGCAGCCCCGCTGCTGCTGCTGCTGCTGCTGCTGCTGCTGCTGCTCGCGGTGTCTGTCTGTCTGTCCTTTTGGACTTTGAATATAAATACGATTTGAACTTGGAAATGATTTAATTTTAAACATTATTTTGAATTAAAATATATTTCGGATTTATCCAATAATAACACCTAGTCCTCCAGACACTGCCTAACAACCGCAACTACCACCACCTCCAAACCCTACTAAACCCTAAACCCTAAACCCTAAACCCTAGGTGGCCCCGCGGGGCGGCGCTATCGGTCTCTGTTGCACGCTTGCTGCTGCTGCTGCTGCTGCTGTTGCTGCTGCTGTTGCGTCTTTTGTTTTTGTGTTGTGGGGGTTGTTTGGAAAGGTGTTGGTGCTTTGGCTTTGAGAGAATTGAAGGAAGAATTAGAATGTGCGCATGCATGCATGCATGCAGGCCCGCATGCATGCATGCATGCATGCATGCACGCTTGCATGCATGCACGCATGCACGCACGCACGCATGCAGGCCCGCAAGCGCGCATGCACGCAAGGCATTGGAACTGCTGGATGCATGCAATTGCATGCATGCATGCATGCACTTGCATGCATGCACATGCATGCATGCACTTGCATGCATGCATGCATGCAAAGTGCGCCCCGAAAACAAATTCGAACGCAAGAAACAACCACCACCACCACCACCACCACCAACAAATAATAATAAGAATAATAATAACAACTCTCCCTCCCCTCCACCACTTCACCACTTCACCACCACCACATCCCCGCCGCAGCAGCAGCAGCAGCAGCAGCAGCAGCAGCAGCAGCAGCAGGAGTATTACTTGGTATCGAGCTTAGCGGGCATCTCCTGAATCTGGGTGTTGTAGTGCGTTTCAATATCCTTGAGCTGTTCCATGTCTGCTGCAGTGACGAAGTTAATTGCAATTCCTTTTCTTCCAAATCTGCCGCTTCTTCCGATTCTGTGAATGTAATTTTCCTTCGAAGTCGGAATGTCGTAGTTTATCACAAGAGACACTTGCTGCACATCAATCCCCCGCGCGAGAAGGTCGGTGGTTATTAACACGCGAGTGGAGCCGCTGCGGAACTCCCGCAAAACTGTCTCCCGCTGCTGCTGCTCCATGTCTCCGTGCATGGCGGAGACAGTGAAGTCGTGGCCCGTCATCATCTCCACCAGCTGCAGCACCTTGCGGCGAGTGTTGCAGTATATTATCGCCTGCAGCAGCAGCAGCAGCAGCAGCAGCAGCAGCGGGAGGGGAGTGGGTGCAGTTGGTGTCGCAGCAGCAGCAGCAGCAGCAGCGGGGGGACTAAGACCGGCAGCAGCAGCAGCAGCAGCAGCAGTTTAAGACGAGTGGTGCAGTGTATTATCGACTAAGCAGCAGCAGCAGCAGCAGCAGCAGCAGCAGCAGTGGGAGGGGGAGGGGGGGAGACAGATAGACTTGAAAGGGAGACTGTGCTTTGAAGGAGACAGTTATTTGAGGGAGACAGTCATTTGAGGGAGACAGTTATTTGGAGGAGACAGTTTTTTAAAGGAGACAGTTATTAAAAGGAGACAGTTGTTAAAAGGAGACACTAACTAAAAGGAGACAGTTATTAAAAGGAGACAGTCTTGAAAGGAGACAGTTGTTAAAAGGAGACAGTTATTAGGAGGAGACAGTTATTAGGAGGAGACAGTTGTTGTAAGGAGACAGTTATTAGAAGGAGACAGTTATTAGAAGGAGACAGTTATTAGGAGGAGACAGTTATTAGGAGGAGACAGTTCATTGAGCATATTTGAAAGGAGACACTTCTTGAGAGACTCGGAAAGAGATACTTCATTAAAGATATTTAGGAGGAGACAGTTCTTAAAAGGGAGACTTCTTGAAAGAAAATACTTTGAAAATATTTCTTAAAAGGAGACACTGGACTGGAGAAGCTTCCTTGAAGGAGACACTTGTTCAAGAGGAGACATTATATAAAGGGAGACAGTTTTAATGTATAAAAGGAGACACTTCCAGTATATAAAAGGAGACACTTTAATATATGAAAAGAGGCACTTTTAATGCATGAAAAGAGACACTCTTAATATATGGAAAGTGTCACTCTTAATGCACAAAAGGAGACACTTTTAATATATAAAAGGAGACACTTTCAACATATAAAAGGAGACACCTTTAAAATATGAAAGGAGACACTTTTAATATATAAAAAGAGTCACTCTCGATATACAAAAGGAAACAGTTCTAATATACAAAAGGAGACACTTCTAGTGTATACGAGGAGACACTCTTAATATATGGAAAGTGTCACTCTTAATACACAAAAGGAGACACTTTCAACATATAGGAGGAGACACTTTTAATATACAAAAGGAGACACTTTCAATATATAGGAGGAGGCACTTTTAATGTGCAAAAGGAGACAGTGAAAAACTCAGCGAAAGGAAACCCTTTTAAGAGGGAAAAACTCGACAAAAGGAGACACTTTCAAAAATAAAAACTTCCCAAAAGGAGACACTTAATTTGAGAGACACTTAAAAGGAGACACTCCACAGCAGAAGAAAACTTGAAAATTTGCAACAAAAAGACTTTACAAAAGCAGTGAACTTCTCGAAAGGAGACCCGCTTAAAAGAACAACAACTTTAATAAGAACAATCCCTCCAAAAAGGAGACACTTTCCAAAAGGAGACCTTCCAACCCCCCCCACCCCCCCTTATGACCCCTCGTTAGAACCGCCTCTTTCCAGAGTCCCTCCCAGTCCCCTCCCCTCCCAAACCCTCGCCAAAACCGCTTCAAAAACCCTCAAAAAGGAAAACCCCCAAACCCCAAACCCCAAAAGCAAACCCCAAGAAGTGCAAACCTGGGTGATGGTGAGTGTTTCGTAGAGGTCGACGAGGGTGTCGAACTTGTTTTCCTCGCGCTGGACGTCAATGAAGTACTGGGCAATGCCCTCGAGAGTGAGTTCGTCTTTTTTCACCAAAATCCTCTTGGGTTTTCTCATGAACTGCGTGGTGAGTTCGAGGATGTCCGCAGGCATTGTGGCGGAGAAGAGCGCCACCTGCACGTCCTGCGGCAAGTGCTGGAAGACCGCCAGAATCTGGGCCTTGAAGCCTCGCGAGAGCATCTCGTCCGCCTCGTCCAAGACGAAGAGCTGCATCTGCTCGCAACGCAAGTGTCTCTTTTCCAGCATGTCGTTCACGCGGCCCGGAGTCCCCACCACCACGTGCACGCCCCCGTGCAGCCGCTGCGCGTCTTCCCGCACCGAAGTGCCCCCCACGCACGCGTGGCACAACACGTTCAGGTAGTCCCCCAGCGCCAGCGCCACCTGCAGCAACACCAGCAGCAGCAGCAGCAGCAGCAGCAGCAGCAGTGGACTCAGCGCCTCCCCAGCTCCCCAACGAGGGGTCACAACCCCACCCAAAACCCCACCCCCCAAACACCAGCAGCAGCAGCAGCAGCAGCA